CCTTTTACCAAAGGAGACTTCTAGTCCTTACCTGCGTGGACCCAGCTGCTGGATTTTATACTGCAGATCACACCCTCCCCGACATTCTTCATTCCCAAGGCTTATCTAGTAGTCCCCCTTATCCACAGGGGAAACGTTCCAAAACCAACAGTGGATGCCTGAGCTTGCAGATCATATCTAACCCTACATATGTTTTTTCGTATACATACATCCCTGTTATAAAATTTAACTTCTAAATTAGGCACAGGAAAAGGTTAACAACAATAATAAAATAGAATCATTCTAATGATATACTGGAATAAAAGTTATGTGAATGTGGTCTCTCTCTCAGAACATCTGATTGTCCTGAACTCAGCCTTGTGATGATGAGAGAGGACAAAATGCATACTGACGAGATGAAGCGAGGGGAATGGCGGAGGTGCTGTGACAAGAGTGTTAGGCTATGGGCACCTGGGTGGCTCAGTCTTTAAGTGTCTGCCTTCAGCTCAGGTCATAATCCCAGGGTCCTGGGATCGAGTCGCACATCGGGCTTCCTGCTGAGCAGGAAGCCTGCTTCTCCCTCTCCCACTCCCCCTGCCTGTGTTCCCTCTCTCGCTGTGTCTCTCTGTGTCAAATAAATAAATAAAATCTTAAAAAAAAAATGGAGTGTTAGGTACTATTGACCTCATGACTGTGTGTCAGGACGATCATGGCTTCCTGAGCATGGTTGACGGCTGGTATCTGAAACTATGGAAAACAAAACCACAGGTAAGGGGGGACTACTGTATAACAGCATCACTTCTTAGTCTTTGACCCTGTTCTTTTTGACTCTTATTAATGAGATCATCTCTCTCCAGTTGTTTTCTGAAAGATGATTTTCCTCAAGATTCTATACTATACTCAGTCTTTTTCCCTTATCATTCTCTAAGCCCTTTCCCTGGCTGATCTCACATACTTTCATGCCTTGAACCATTCCCTCAACAGAATAGTAACTTTAAAAACTATGCTTGCTATCCAGACTTCTCTTGTGAGCCAACTACCTGTTAAAACATCTGTACCTGTATGTTTCAGCTGCACTTCAATAATTTAACATTTTTAATATGGCCTCTAATTACCTTCACTATGATCCTACTGTTCTCTGGTTTTTGTTTGTTTGTTTTGTTTTTAAAGATTTATTTATTTATTTGAGAGAGAGAGCATAAGTGGGAGGGGCAGAGGAAGAGGGAGAGAGAATCTCAAGCAGACTTCACACTGAGCTTGGGCACCTGATGTGGGGCTCGATCTCATGACCCTGAGATCACCAACTGAGACAAAACTAAGAGTTGCACGCTTAACCCACTGGGCCACCCAGGCTCCCCTCTCTCCTCTTTCTTCGTTGTTGGAATAATCAACCATTATTCACCTATGCCAAATATCTTAATGTTATCCTTGATTATATTCTCCTTCAACTCCACTGACCCAGTTAGTAAGTTGTTCAATTTAACCTCCAAGATAGTTCTTAAATTGGTCCTTCCTTCTCCATTCTTTATCATTTCCTAGTTTCCAGAAATTTTCTTTTATCTGAAATATCACTGCTCTAGCCTCTGAAATCATCTTATTGTTCTAGCCTTGCCTTCAAAATCTGTCCTGCTAAATAGGAATTAATAGTTTCAGGTACACAGCACACAGTACAGTGTTTCCCAAGGCAGTACTTATGTAAAACCATGCAGACAGCTTTACTATTGCATTCACCACACAGCAAATGATCTACCTATTTATCAGCACCCCCCCACCAAGACGGTAAACTCAGTAAGAGAGGAGCCATGCTTTATTTACCTTTTTATGCTTGGTGCCTGCCTCTGTGCCTGGAATGTGATATGGCCAAGAAGTTACTGAGCAGGTAGATAGATGCTCAGCACAATCATCAACTATGTGCTTTCTGGGCTTCTGTTACTATACTTTTCCCCACCCTCTCTTCTAAAGGGATGAGGCTATGGCTTATGATTCTATCTACATATTGCCAAAAATACCTCACATGTAGTACATGCTTAATAACTAGCTATGGAATGAGAGAAGGAAAGAAAGAAAGAAAGAAAGAAGGAAAGAAAGAAAGAAAGAAAGAAAGAAAGAAAGAAAGAAAGAAAGAAAGAAAGAAAGAAAGAAAGAAAAAGAAAGAAGGAAGGGGAGGAAGGGAGACAAAGGGAGAGAGAGAGAGGGAGGGAGGAAGAGAGAAAGAAAATGTTTAGACTCTCAGGGCAACTGCATACAGTGAATTAGTGTTTTAGAAACAATCACAGATACAATGTAGAAGTAGTTTAAAAGCCCAAATAATTCCAAAATATACTTTCTTTTAAGCCTTTGGATTGGTTAGAAAATATATTCCCATCTAAATGAGCAATTCTCTAAATATTTTATATGCTGAATTCTTATTAAATGTGCTCAATTGTAATGTGTTTAATTTTTTATACCACTTAAAAATGGTTTAACCTTGGCTTCTGAGGCCGTCTCCGTCCGGAAACAAACTTTCCCCTGCAGCATGGCGCGACCCTGTGCTTCCCCGGAGCCGGTCAGAAACAGTTTGATAGATGATGCTAAGGCCCGCTTAAAAAAGCATGATGTTGGGACCAAATATTCTCACTTGTCGTCCAACAAATATTCTGTCCTTTTACCATTGTTGGCAAAAGAAGGAAAACTCCACCTGTTGTTCACCCTCCGGTCAGAGAAGCTAAGAAGGTCACCTGGAGAAGTTTGCTTCCCTGGAGGCAAGTCTGAACCAGCAGATGTGGATGATGTGGCTACAGCTCTCCGGGAAGCCCAGGAGGAAGTAGGGCTGCATCCTCACCAAGTGGAGGTTGTCTGCTGCCTGGTGCCATATCTGCTTGACAGTGATACATTGATAACCCCAGTTGTAGGATTTATAGACCACAACTTCCAGGCCCAGCCTAATCCCACTGAAGTTAAAAGTGTGTTCCTGGTGCCTCTGGAATATTTCCTGCATCCACATGTCTACCACCAGCGTTACCTGACACATTATGGTCATCATGTTATTATTCATTGCTTTGAGTACACAGACCCTGGAGATGGTGTCACTTACCAGATCAAGGGAATAACTGCAAAACTTGCCCTGTTCCTTGCCTTAATTATTTTGGGGGAAAATCCCATTTTTGAAATGGAGTTTAATCTCAATGATCTGATTTCATCCTCTGAAGAGATCTTCCTGAAACTAAATAAGCATGCTACAAGCAAGTTATGATTTATGAGACCACCATCCAAATAGCTAAGAGGATTTCGTGTGTGCTTATCCATAAGAACAACAGTAACACAAGCTGTCGGCAATTGACAGGTGCGACTATTTTTCCTGCAATATGAAGGTAAAAAACCTTGCCTTTTTCCCACTTGCCCTGTATTACCTGAGAGAGCAAAAGTCTTTCAAAAGTGGAAAAATGTGTTCATAGTGTTGCATAATTTCACCCACAGCATGTTATTTTTTTGTACACATGTATCCGGCACATAGTAGGCACTTAATAAATATTTGTTGAATATAAAAAAAAATGGTTTAACCTTAAGAGCACTGAAGGCATTTTGTATTTTGTATAATTTTAGAGGATATAGTAGGGTTTGCATATAAAACTTAGATTTATCTAGCACATTTTAAAATGGTATAACAACATATTTTGCCAGTTTTAAAGAATTATAGTTCAGAAATCAAACCTTAAAAACACGTTTTATCATAATATTTTGAAATGAAAAAATTGGAAGAGAATTATATACTGTTTGTAATTTGCAAGCGCATAATGTTTAAGCTACCAACTTGGTTTTAACTTAGCTACAATTTTCAAGTATATTTCATAAGACTTAATGAAAACTTAAGCAGAACTTCTATGTTAATTAATTTTTATTGAGTTAAAATGAAGAGTCTAAAATACTGTGAAAAATATGGAGGTTTTTTTTTTTTCTTTCCAGTTTTCACACTCTCTTATGATAACATTTAATGGTCCTTCTGGTATTCTTAGCTCATTAACTAGTGTGATGAACATTACTATTATTTGCCAGATGCTTAGTCTTTATAGAAAAGAATGGGGTTTTCAAGATTTTTTTCCGTCTGATTTAGTCCTTTGTATTTCACTGAAAGGTCAAAGCTGTACAGAATAAAAAATATGTATCAAAATCTCTCCTTTCACTTTTATGAGAAATCAATTTGTAGTATAAGAAAGATAGAATCCTATAGTATTTTGAATGGGAAAGTAAGATAAATGTAGATCATTTTAATTTTAAATTTCCTTAATATTAAACAACCAGTTGTTTATGTAAAACAATTCATTCACAATAATCAACTATCTTCAAATAACTGTTTTCTACTTAAGGGCAACAGTTTTATACAATGAGAAATCTAATACCATTTAAATGCAACATGATGGGCTTCATATATGTACCAGAGGTGTTCAGTGAATTCTGAAACATAATTTAAATCCTTATGTTTGTGTATGAATAAGTATGCTTGTATATTCATAGCTTTCCATATTTAGCAGTGCTGATTTTAAGAGTTCCAAAAAAAATAAGAGAAAATGAATTGCACATTTGACTTCCAAAAATATCTGAACTTGCTACTTATGAGATCTTTAATTCTTGAAAATTTGTGGGAGTATTTATTTTCATTAAAACAAATTCACTTTGATTTCATATTTAAATGAACTAAAGTCTTAGATTAGTAATAGTTTTCTAAGGTAGATAGTTTCTAGAAAGTTAATTAAACAAGATGGTTTCTACTCTGTAGCTGTACATACACATAGAAAAGCATTTCAGGATCCTGCCACACTTGATCCTTTAGTGCAGTCTTCATTTTTCTTGATTCAGAGAGATATAGCCCTATATCTCAAATATAGCTGAGAGTAGCCAACTCATCCCAGTTTGCCTCAGACTTTCCGATAAAATGAAGATCCCATATCCTAGGAAATCCCTTAGCCCCAGACAAACCGGGACAGCTGGTAAACCTACTGGAAGATGACCTAAACTTTGAAACTTTGAGATAAAAAGGGCCTTACCTTAACATCATTGGTGTTCATTCTTGTTCCCTCCTTTCCCACAAAAATATCATCAATATCCACAAGAATGTACCTGTCCAAGGACAGTGTCAGCCTCTTTCCTGACAAGAAGGAAACCGCGTCTATGAAGATGAGCTTATGCAACCAAAAGTTCAAGTTGTTGCCAAAAAAAACTCTTTGAATTCCATCATGAAGCCCCAAGTCGTGTATGACAGTGGCATAAAAAGCACCTTTAGAGATGGGAGGAGAAAAGTTCTCTGGGGTCTTTACTTTGGCAAATATTACTGGTTGGTAGGCTGAGTGATTAATCTGGAAAACTGTCCAGTCAGTTCCAGGTAAAGAACTTTTTTCAAGCTTGGTAGATTTGGTCACATGAAGCAATGGAGAATGAGGATTAATACAACAATCTTTTACCGCAAGGTTTCCGTATATGGAGAAAGGGAAACCTTTCAACTGAAAGCTCTGTAGACTCTTCTCGCTAGTTTTGTGGAATCCAATGACACCCACACCATATTCCACACAGTATTTATCTAAAAGGCTTCGGTTCCAAGAGTCCATATTTATATACTTTAATATATTCTCATAAATAACAAGAATATATTTGCCTTTAGTTTTTTCTATAAGTGCTGGGAGATCCCCCTTTCCAGGAGCAATTTCAATGTGATACTGGAACCTACTGGATTCTAGAATCATAATTATGTCTTGACCAAGCGATGAGTATTGGCTCTCCACAAACACCAGGACTGTGGGGTCTGTCCTTGAGGCATCAGAAAGCTTCATTGTCTTGACTTCCATAAGCCTGTATGGTAGGTGTTGGAAATCCGCACAGTCCACTTCGGACATCATCTCGGAGGGTTCATTTTCCTGTTTGTAGCCACTGTACAGGTAGTATGCAGAAATAATAACGCTCACCATACAAAATGTGGCGAGCAGAATAACCGTCCTTTGAAAGTGTCTGTGAAGCTTCATGATAAAACTCATGTGGCATATACTTCCCTCAGACTGTTCCAATTGAAGCACCATAAAAAAGGAAGAAGAAAAGAAAAGATGGTGTTCAGCTACTTTTCCAGTCTCCGTCAATAGTTTATGTCACCATTGCAGCGCATTTGTTGCACTGGATCAGGACTCACAGAAAATACAGTCTGAAAAGTAGAATAAAATAGAACAGACTATCAAACGTTCATTCTGCAGCATTAAGACGAACAAGTTTTTTCCTGCTGATTGACATGAGTAGCAACCTGTTAGGCAGATGAACGGATGTATGGTCTGTCAGAAAGCCTCTTTTTCCTCCTGCCAGGTCTGGATGAGGACGTGGGAGGGAAAGAAACGGGGAAAAGGGCTCCATATAACAGAGGCTCTCTATCCTTCATGTAGAAAATACATTGGGCTAACCAGAAATTTCCTTTTATTCACCAAGCTTTGCATCAAACTCTGTAGATATCGTATACCTAAGCCCACAGAGAGGTCACCTGAGCCATGCACTGCCCTATCATGTAATGCATACACGATGCATATGTGTTTAACTACACATACCGAACATTCATAAAAGTCTGGATGTGTTTCATTAGGTGCTATAGTTAAGGCACTAGTTTCTGCTGTTTGGAAAAGAGCACAGTAATGACATGAAAAAAGTACTATAAAAGTGTTTTTTTTTTAAGAAAAACAATGAAAATACTTCATGAAACACCTTGTCATGCTATAGTTTCAAATCCCTTTCAAGACTTACTAATCTTAGAAAAATTTAGTAGATTTGAAAGACAGTAAGAAAGAAACCTGAGTGCTTCTTAGAGCAGAAGTTTATTAGAGTCTTACGGTCCTGGCACTTTTCAAGGAAATATGGAATATAAAAGAATTAAGGAAGGTCTTGTTATTGTCCACAAGGCAGGCTGAAAGGGTTGACTGAAACTCTACCTCTTATTAACTGTGTCACTTTGGCCCCAGTACCTTTTAAGTAAAACGATGAGATTAGAATAAACAATCACCAAGAACATTCTGGCTCTAAAATTCTGTGATATTCACCTATGAAATAAGGAATGAACAATATTTTGAATAATATATGTTTATCTTTATGAATAATACATTCTGGCATATAACTGCAGGATATTTACAGACTAGGATTCTTATAAATAGGATATTTATCCTGTAAATTGTCTATTGTAATTATTCGTTCAAATATTTAGGGCATCTATATCATTCATTCAAGTATTTATGGGGTAACTATCTTTCTATTTAAAATATAAATGGTCAACAGAGTGAATTTCCTTAAGGGGTCCAAAACTATAAAGTAGAAACAGTGACTAGCATCACAATAATAGATGGTTGTTGAGTAGAGACAAATGCCTCTAATGAGATGAGAGAAGCGACCATGGCAAGTAGGGAAGCCTGCAATACTCCAGGGGGATGTAGAATTTGGGCAGAGCCCTGAAGGTGAGGGTGTTGTGAGTAGGCATGTGAGATGAAGGGAATTTATAGAGGCAGGGGTGAGCACAATATTGGGCAAGGAACACTCTGATGAAGAATGGAAGGCAAGGGGATGAAGTCCCTCCAAAAATAAATTGTACAAAGTATGGGTACCTTAGATTATGGAGAGATTTGATAGCATACAAGTTCACGGTTGAGAAAACCCATTGGGAGCCATTCTACTTTTCTGCTTTGGGGAATAACATGGTAAGGGTGAGATTTTTCAGGAAAATGAACTAACCAATAACGTGAAGGATATCCTAGAGCATTGTTTGAGAGTCAAGGCTGGCAAGCCAAGGCAGGCTCATTTCTCACAATCCAGTCATAAAAACCGTTAGTGATCATAGGTCAGGGAGAATGTGGGAAGGGGCAAGTCTGAGGGACACTGGAAAGAAAGGAGGAAGAGAACTTGGGTCTGGCATGGGGGGGGGTCTGTGGTACACCACCACTCTGCCAAATAAAATGGCATCAAGTGACCTGGCGTGCTTGAAAATAAATCTAATATAAAGGATAACATTCTACTCTTTTAAACATTCAAGCCTAGATGTAGGTGCAACTTAAGCAAATCAAAATTACCAGGACAATGCAGAGTTTCCACTGTAATTGTAGTTATTTCATTTTGAAAAGTAATTGCACTTTAAAAGTTATGTACATGTTTATGAATAATATAATAGTCTGGAGCATAATAGCAGGATATAAAATCTCCTATCTTTCTATGCCTCTGTTTCAATTTTAGCTGTGAAGTGTTTTTGACTGGCTACAAAATGTATTACCACATTTTGTATTTCAGATAGCAGTGTTTCATCGTTTGTTCTTATTGTCAGAAGTGAAAGGCATGTAACTCATACTAATCTTATCTGTGATGAGACAAAGTGGTGAGGAGTACTTGCTCTCACTATTTAGGATGGATATTAGGAACCTATTAAAGCTACCTTCTCCAATACCTGGTATAAAATACTGAAAGACCTCTCTTTTCTATTAAACTCTTCAAGTTTCCTCCTGAAGCCAGGGGAATTCCAGTGTATGTCTCTGAGGGTAGGATTTGGTCTAAGATATTTAAGTGGACACATTAAGATTCTCTAAGTTTTCTTTAAACTTTTTTTGACAGCACACTTTGCTGTGGCCAAATTTGGTCCCTGGTATAGACTCTCAAAAGTTACTGTTCCTAGGGCAACCTCATCCACCACCAACTACTTCCCATTCGCTGTATGTCTGTTAGCTCTGAAAATCTCAGAATGCAGTGAACTGTTGCTGTCCCTCTTTCCGTGTGGGATGCCACTAGAGCAGCTTTTCCTGAGCCCTTCACTGGTGGGGATCACTAGGAAGACAGGTACATGTGGAAAATTAAGCTCCTCCGCACAGTTCCCCTGTGAAACCTTCTCAGATAGAGCTGACCTTCCAAACGGGGTAAGACCAGCAGAGACACACGGCCACTGTAGAAATTATTATCTTCTTTGTAATTCTTGACACTATTATAATTAAAATTTTGTTTATTGTCCGTCTGTCAGTCTCTCTTATCCAACTGTAAAACACTCTAAGAGGGTAGAGATAAGGCCTCTATCATTGAGCCCCTAGTGCCAGGCACAGAGTAAGCACCCAATAACTGTGGAATTAGTCAAATAAAATGGCACATTAACCTTACAGGCTAATTTGACACTTCTACTTTTTTCTAATGTCATAACTTATTTTTCAGGTCATATATCACTATTAATATGATTACAATTACCTATACATTAGCTGGATTTAATATCTCTGTTTTACTTAATACTAAGAAAATATAATCATGCCATCCTAACATAGGATAAAAGAAGCCACTATGGTAGATATTAAATCTTCACCCGCTCAAAGATTCCTATCAAATAATCATTCTGCCATCAGTCATTAGGTATTTGTTGAACACCCAGTTTGGGCTTAGGGCTGTATTAGGTGCAGGGGACACCACAGAGGTAATATTAAGAGTGATTCTTGTCTGCAGAAGCAAGGTCTCTGTTGGGGGAAATGACTTGTGAAAAAACAGCCAACACCATATGGTTGGTTCATGCTGTACAGACTATATTTGTTACAAGTTTCAAAACCAAGATTAATGATTAATTAAAGATTAATGAAATTTAGGAAAGCAGTTTCTAAGAGACGTAGTGCTTGAGGGGGACATGACATGATGGGCAAGATTTGGATATGAGGGCAGGATGAACATGTTAGGCAAAAATACCTGGCAAGGGTGGTGCCCGGCTGGCTCAGTCGGGAGAGCATGTGACTTGATCTTGGGGTTGTGAGTTCAAGCCCCACGCTGGGGGGAGAGCTTACTTAAAATACTTGGCAAGGTTGAAGAAATGAAATGGTTACAATATGTTTATCTGAGAGTGAGACTAAACTAATATGATACTATGTGTTGGCTTGAAAATGGAAATCATATTTCATTCAAGGAGTCCTGCAGATTAATGAATGTCCTTGGAAGTGACTGTGAAGCACAAAGTGTGGAGTTGGAAACAGACAGCATTAGATGAAGCTGAACAGAAGAGAGACAATAAAAATCACATTTACAGGTGCTTAGTGTAGCAGTGGCACCCAGAATGGGCACACAGCAGTCATATGAACAGAGACGGTAGATGCTACATTGTACGGAGTGAAGAAGGAGGTGGAGTCGGGACAGTCCCACTTAAGGGGCTGCTGCACAATCCAGGTGGGGAGTGGTGTGAGGCCAGGCTAAGGTGGTTATCAGGGGGAATAAAAATTAAGAGAGACAGGAGAAAAACAAAAAGGAAATGATTACTGATAAATTATGCTTGGGGACTAGAAGAATAAAAGTGCCGGTATTAGAAATGCACAAGCTTAGAGTGGAAATTGGCTTGAGCTAATGATGTTCACCTAAGGTTCAGACAGGTGACTAAATGATGCACAGGGAGATGGCAAAATCACAATGTTCTCTGAAATAGTTGGATGTTGACAAATAAAAAAAGACAAGGAAACATTTGAAATCAATGGGTCATAGGCAAATCTGGATAGGCTACACAAATTCAATTCTTCAATTCAATTTACTCCTCCCCCTTTAGACCAGAGCCCCAGATGATGTAATCTAATTATAATTACATTTTATTTCAGGCTTTTATCACAACTCTTACTAAATGTTATTAGCAACATTATTTGTTTAATGTCTCTCTTTCTTGTTAGACTGAAATTTCCAAGGGTATAGGGTTTATGTCATTCCCAGTAATCTTTCAAACAAGAAACAGGATAAAAACATTTTTAAAGGCTAACAAGAGCAACAGGCAAACACTTCAGTATAGTGATTATTGTATTCTTTTTTTTTTTTTAAGATTTTATTTATTTTGAGAGAGAGAGAGCACAAGCAGAGGGAGCGGCAGGCAGAGGGAGAAGCAGGCTCCCCGCCGAGCAGGGAGCCCGATGAGGGGCTCGATCCCAGGACCCTGGGATCATGGTCTGAGCCGAAGGCAGATGCCCAACTGACTGAGCCACCCAGGCGCCCGATGATTGTTGAAGTGCTCTCACAAAAATACATTGAAAATTATAGACTTTGCAGGGTCTGAAGAATTCTCTGAATGACTAAAGAATAGGCACACTAGCCTGTGTGTCAGAGAGTTTCCAGGGACACGACTGTCTTTACTGCAAGCAGGGAGTTGACAGCCGTGCTTGCATTTGGAGACCTATGATGAGGAATATGCTG